AGGACCCCGACCTAGAGCATATCCAGATAAAAAATGTGGTACTCATTTTTGCGACGTCAGCAACCTTCATGTAATCTATTATTCCACACAGGATAGCTAATCAAGCCCTGGTTTTAATTGCATTTTTTCCTTTTTTTCCATTCTGCATGGGTTTTTATTATGCATTTTATACTTGTATACTGATTTGGGAAAGTGGCCAAGAAACACTTTAAATATTTTTTTAAGAATCAGAGTACTGTACATATACCATTTAGATATTATGTTGAATGAAATAACCGCTCATCAGGTTTGCAAAAATCCACAAGCTTTTCCACAGAAACTCTAACCAGCCTTTTAAAACAAGATGAACAGTTTCCAGGGATCTGTGGGGAGGGGTTCACACTGAGCCTCCAGATGCCACCAGGGGAACCCTGGTCCCACTTGCAGGGCAAAAAAGCCCGTTTTTCACGTTTTAAAATGAAAACTGATGGCTTGACGATTTTGGGCACTGGCAGCAAATGAGGATATTTTGCTGTATTTTTTGCTGTCACCACACTACCGACATTGGCAGTAAACCAGCACTTTTCCTTTAAAAGTGCACTTTTTTCCCCTGCTGCCATACACAGCATGGAACAAGTGGGAGCCACATCAAAGGTCCAGTGAAGCAGCATGTGGCTTCCAGTCACCATGACACCCATCCCTGAATTTAAATGCTCATCTTTCTATTCACACCTACAGTAAATTGACATTTCTTATATCAAGAAGTTATCAGATCTAAATCCTTCACATGGAACGATTCAAAGAAATGCAGGATACCCAAAATGCATCTCTGCGTATCATTTTATCTTAAAATTAGGCCATTGAATTCTCAAACATTTCGTTTGGAAGTTTTGAACAGATTAACTAAATCTATCTAGATAAAATTGTCTTTATAGTTTTTTAACTCAACAAGGAAGCTGGGCTCCCCTTTACTACAGGGAAGAGCAGTTCACCTTCATTTTCTATTTAAGGCCATACAACACGCCCAGATCAAAGCTCCATATGTTGTTCAAGCACATCAGCACAACTGCTGTGAAATATATATTAGTTCACTGTAATGATGTGGTCTTTCATCATCACCAATATAAAGTCAGGAATACATGAATTTTCTGCACCTTCTAAGTTTGAAAGACAAAAAAGAGAAAAAGGCATAGGAAAGGCTATCAAAAAAGTTTTGGGATCACTGCATATTTTGAAGTCAGTGTACTTAACTTAAGCCTCTCCATATAACAGCCCTTGAATAACTTAAGAACGCATGCCAGGCTTGACGCATTCCAAGCCTAGAGACAGCCAAGCAAACACACATCAAACCCAGCTTCTCCAGTCACTTCCTCTGCACTGGCAGTGTTGACCTCTGATTACCATGAAGCTAGTATAAGCAGGATAAAATGACAATCCAAGACCACGCTGGTGCATTCAGTTTTTCCATCCTCAACTTTCTTAAAGACCACTATGTTAATTAGAATTTCAAACAAATGCTGGTAACCTGGTTACTGAAGAAGCCAACACTTCAGAACTCTTAAATCATTCTATTTGGTAATTCATGTATCTGCAAGTGTTAAAAAAAATCATGTTTAAATGGTAGATTTCTAAGAGTCACCCAGATAAAAAACCTTGAAACCCTCCCATAGGAAGTCATAATCAGAAGGCATTCACATATACTACAATCTTCATGTTACCAATTTCATCAGAACAAGTCTCTCCCATAATGCACAAGTCCTGCAATAAGAGATAAAGGAACACAACAATAGATCAAGTGCTAGAAGACTAGTGACTAGTGAAGAGTGTATATCCATTTCTGCCATTAAAGTACCATCTGTCCCCGCCTCCCCCAAGGTTTACCATGAACAAGTGTCCTCAGCAAGAAAATAAACAGAACAATAAATCCACAAGACTGAAAATGAAAGGTTTTTAGGTGAATTAATACCCTCCTACACACTTGATCAAAGGGATCATCCAAATGAGAAAATCCTTAAGTGAAGCAGGTTTCCATACCTCAGACTCTTTTCAACCTCTTCCACATATACCTAAGACTATGACTAAGTATTTAAAAGCTCTTCAAAACGTACAAAATTTCCATCATAGCATTCATAAAGTCTATTTGATTTTACTTTTAAAATTAGTATCCTATAAATTTAGAGAACACAAAGAATTCTAGTCTCTACAGACTTATAAATTTTATAAGTTCAATACTAGTTTCTGTGCCTGATTTTCCCCATTCTATCCCGTTTCAAGAACCAGTATTTAATCAACATGCAACTAAATCCAAGGCTGCCAGAAGATTAGACTTTGCTGGAGTAATCCAACTAATGCCTACAATCAAAGGATGAAAAATGGTTCCCCTTCCTATATCCTGTTTCATCCATCTTCTCGGAAACGCCCTACACACCTTCTGTTCCACAACAATAATTCTTTCTTATAGCTGCCAACTGCGAGTATGTGATAATCACTACCTGAAGATAATAAAATATGTACAGCCTATCATCACCAGCAGTAACACTACTTGTAACCTGTAAAATTGTGAACTGTAAACATGTTAAAACTGTAACATGCATGCAAGTTAGGGCTATACTAGCATTCCTATTTTCAAAGGAAGAAAACTACTGCACATTAAAGAAACAAACTTAAGTTTTTCTACATTCACAGCTGATATCCTAAACACCTGTCAATCTTCCTCAGGATAACTCTGACATACAGCATTTAACATTGTTGCTGCTTAATCAAGTTACAAGCATTAATAATGAAATTCCTGTGCAAAGTAAAGCCACTTTCAGTCTCACAACACCTTCTGCCATTGAAAATAAAAGGAATATTGAAAAAACCTAAGTCAAATGGTACTTTAAGAATGGGAGCTATTCTCTGGTACTTTTTGTTTGTTTTGTTTAGCCCTAACACTATTACTGTCCTCCAGCCAATACAGTTTGGAGGTTAGAGGATTTCCTAGCGGGTATATTAGGGGAGTTTTTAACTATTCTTTTTGCTTTTATTTAAGCATGAACTTTGTGTAAGCCAAAGATGGCTACAGCTGCAGTCCTATAAAGGCACACACTGTTACGATCCATAAACTTAACACATCCAATAGGCAAGGCTGTGGAGCTGGAGTCGAAAACAACTGAAGTAAAAATGTATGGACTCTAACTCCACATACATTTAAATTGTAGTGTAAAAATATATTAACATTTCCTATTTCAAAGATAATAATTTGAGTAACCTATTTTTAAGGTTATATTTTCAGGATATATTTTAACAGGTTAGGTTCTAACTATTAGCCTGATGATTCACATCGGCAGTGATGAAAAGCCTTGTAGGTGGAATGCTTTCAATCAATATAAGAAATGCATAATTAGTATATTTATTTCCTATATTGGTATGTGCATAAAAGAGTCAGAGTCAAAGTTGAAGGTACCATAAAATGAGGAGCTGGAGTCAACGGTTTAAGTACTGACTCCACAGCCCTGCCAATAGAGACACCAAGTGAGAAAGAAGCCCTACTGAGTTCAACAGGTCTTACATCCTAAAAAGTGTGCTTAGGAATGCAACTTTACACCATTAAATCAATCTATAATATGAACTTAAAACCTACAGAGACTGCAATGTTCAACTGATTCATCTTCCATATTCTGCCCTGCACTAAAAGGTAGCACCAAGCAGCATTTCAAAGGGGCCTTTGAACTATCTTATTCTTTGGTTGCAAGAATTACAAGTAGTTCCAGATCTGGAATACTCAGAATCCTACAAAAGAGGAAAAGGAATGAACAAAACAAAAATACCATGCAACTCTTAGCATTACAGCAACATGAAGGAAAACATGGGAGTGGCAATTGAATGTGAATACAAATGTTTTTCTACTTAATTGTTCTTGCAGTTCTTGAATGATAGTAACAGCTGGTGTGTGTTACGAAACACACCCAATGGAGCAAAGAGTTATCTCCTTTTATAATCCTCCCCTTCAAAATTTAGACTTTTAGATTTGCTCAGGAGTTAAGGCTGTTCTTTCTTCCTCTTCCTGGCAAGCGATATGTCACATTCTGTTACAGCACAATCCTATGCAAATGTCTACTCAGAAGTTAAGTCCCGCTGAGTTCAACGCGATGGGCTCACAGGAACGCGGCACAGCGTTCAGGTAACCCTGCAAAGCGCGGTGTGAACGCAGATGTGGCACAAACAGCAGCAGAGATGCCGGGGCCAAATCAAAGCGGAAGGCGGAGGAGAGGAGTTACGCGAAGGAGACGGACGCCCTTGCACCAGCTGGCTGAGCTCGCTTGGGAGGAAGCTGCAGGCGGGCACGACGAGCGGCGAAGGGAGGCCACGCGGCGGCGGCGGCGGCGGCTCTCCTGATCATTCCCCCGCCGCCTGGGGAGCCCTCCGTCGGACGAGACGCCGGCTTCCAGGGCGGGGGAGCGCCGTGGCAAGGCCTTGCCCTTCGGCAGAGGGACTGGGATGCCGTGAGAGCCCCAGAGGCGGAAGGAAAAGATCCGGGACTGAGCCCACAGGACCCCCTCCAGCACAAATCTGCATATGCTAATTCATATGGGCCCCGATGCCTGCGCGCGCGCGCCTTTAAAGGGCCCCGTCTCCTTAAGGAGCCCCTATCTGTACAAAAGGTCAGGAGGGAGAGCACTTGATTTAGGGAAAAAACGCGGGCGCCAAGATCCAAGGGGGGCGGCGGGAGGGGAAGCCAGCTCGCCCCGGGGGATCAGATGCACCGGAGACCACCAGGGGCCCGGACCTTTTTCCCTGCCTACGGGGGACGAGCCGGGGGACGTGATTCGGAGCACCCGCCCGAGCGGGCCGCCCTCTGACAGAACCGGGTGGCGCGGCGGCTCCCGCGGAGCGGCGCTCGAGGGAGTGTCTTCCCCAGGCGCCGAAATGGCCGGGGCACCGCCGTGCGCTTCAATTCAACGCGCTTGGGGGCCGCGGGCAGGCAGTGGTCGCGGGCGGCCCTGCGCATCCCGCCAGCAGCCGAACGCCCTCAGACTCACCCGCGTTGCCGCGCTCGTAGGATGCGACCGGAGGACGGCGACGCTCGAGAGCCACGCCGGGCAGGCTCATCCTTCTCACTGGAGGAGGCGGCGGCGGCGGGCGCGACCGCGGCTGCGCGAGGGAGGGAGGGAGGCGCGCGCGTGAAGGCAGCGGCACGAGCGACCAGCCGTCACAGCGTTCGGAGTAAAGCGGCACTGGGGGCGGGGAGCGCGTGAGAAACCGCTCACTCGCGAGCCACATCGCCGTGGCTCCTGAGTGGGTACGGAGGGCCACGTGACGCCTCGCTTGTGCTCCTCCTCCCGCTCGTAGTGCGTGTCGCCCTGACAGCAAAGGCATGGCTCTTGCCTCTCTCGTTTACACATGGGGGGGGGGGCGCGCACGCGTCAAGCTTAAGAGTACAACCCCGTGCACGCTTAGGTGAGAGGAAAGGCCTACAGTTCCCGGCATTGCCCAGGCAGAATGCCTGGCTAGGGGATGCTGGGAGTTGTAGGATGATTTTTTCCCTTCATTTCTCTCCAGGGGATTAGGGTTTAAGAACAGTGTTTCCTCCCAATAATCATTTTTGTATATTCGAGGAAACAGATTCCAAGGGTGGTCAGGTTTCCTTCCCAGTTCTGCGTTTCGTGCCATCACAGCTTTATCCCCACTCCTTTCAAAAGAATTGCTGCCTTTTTCCATTCGAAACATTTATGTTTTTGTTCACAACTTGCTTCCCCCTTTCCCAGCTGGTAAGAAGTTTCAGAGGCGGCTGTTACTGTACGGGTTATATAGTCTGGTTTCCTGAAAAGGAAGGAGTATTTAAATAGGTTCCCCACCTTGGGGTACTGTTTAAGTACAATCTTGAACCTTCGGATGGGAAACAATGGAAGTGGTGCTAATTCCAAAAATGTTCCTAAGACCAACAGCAGGCCCAGTACTGCCTTTTGCCAGCAAGCTGGAAAACAAAACTCCGTGCCAAGCATGTTGCAAAACTGTTTCCTTCATCCCACATTTGGACAGATATGAATGCATCACACATCACAGCTGCTTAGAAAAATCATGAACTTCTAGAAGTTCATTTTGAGGACCCACTGGGAGAGACGGGACCGTCTTATCTAGCAGCAGGTTAAGTAAGAGCAGAAAAGGAGGCAAGTGGGAAAGGGGAGAGCCAAGGAAGAGACATTTTGCATACCAAAGAGCATACTTGTAACAGAAGTGAGAATTCCTAATGAGCATCCTGCAAGACAATTATTAATATTTAGTAATCATTAATTAAAACAGTCTTCCCTAGCCTAGTGCTCATCAGGTGCATTGGGTTGAAACTCCATAACCCCAACCAGGATGATGGGTGTTGTATTTCAACTCATCTGGGGAGCACCAGGCTGATGAAGTCTGAGACTCCTATAGCCTCATGCTACAGAGGAGCTGTCTGCTGTGACAGGTACCTTGCTTTTCAATAAAATTAAGTGTACCTTGCCATACATTAAAAGTGTCCTGGCAACTAACAGCCCTGCTTGTCAGCCCTTAATTACCTAAGTGATGGCTGTGGCCAAAACATGCTTCCCTTTTGTTCCGGAGTCCCAGGGCAAGTGGGAATTCCCTCCATGGAGGAGTACAGAATTCCGGTCCCCTGCCACTGGCCCTTCTCTGACTGAATGCAGGTGCCGTTTCATTCGCAGGGATACTGATCATCTGCCACACACATTTCTGCAGATTTTCCCATTCCCTCTGAAAGGGGAGCAAGTGAATTATCCCGGAAAGAATATATTCCGTGTTGAAATGCAAACTAATTTAGGTTACCCGGTTTTGAATGGACACTTAAAACCCATTACAATGTTAACACAAAAGAGAAACACTGCCAGATGGGTACAAGGCTGCATCACAATAGGTGCCTGCATCCCAAAATTTACCATTGTACTGGTGGGAAAATGTACAAACTTCCAGGAGTTTCAACACCCTGGCCCGTGTCAGAGGCCAGAAAAGCTCTCCCACGCCCTGCAGATGAGGAAGACAGGACATGATGGGAGTTGTATTCCAATGCACTAGAGTGAGGAAAACTAGGGTATGGAGTCACCTCCCCCATCCATACTTCTGTAATTCAAGAAAAACGTTTCCTTCCATGCCTCTGCATTCAGAAGACAATCAATCGCTCCTGACAAAGATAAAGGATGCCCTTCAGACACTGTAATTTTGTTGTAGGAGCCACTCTTTGATGGGTTCATTCCTTGGTTCAGCTGCAACATTAAAGACCCAGAACCATCTGGGTGAAGCAGGTGCCAAGAGCCTGTGCCACGTGGCATTCGCTTTTGCAGAAAAACTCACACCATGAACTTCATTGTATAGTAATGGGCCTTTGAATTTTACACTTGGAATGAAGTCTTGGTAAGGCGGCTTCTGCATTAGGACTGCAGCACATAAAATAAGAGTGGGACAATTCCTCTGAGAGCGGAGAGGTTCTGGTTTTGTTGACAAAATGTGTCCCCCAGTTTTAAGACAGACATGATGGGAATATTGGGACGGGAACAGTGCTTGATAGCCTAGGCTAGTGGTGGGGAACCTATGGCACATGTGCCACAGCGGGAACGGAGAGCCCCCTCTGTTGGCACCCAAGGCAAGTCACCCCAGCATCGCCCCAGCAGCTGAGCATCGGATAACAGTGCACACAGGGGCCATGCGCATGCTTGGAAAGGAGTAGTGGCAGCGAGGGGGTGATATCACAAGCCGCGAATCATGAGCTGCAACTCGCCCAAGCTTTCGCATGGCCGGTCAGTGCGCTGCCAAGAATATATATTTTCTGATTGGACTGGCTGTGAGTTGTTTTTTCTAAACTAATACCTCAGTTTTCAGGTATCATTGCAGTGTTGGCACTTTGCGATAAATAAGTGGGTTTTGGGTTGTAGTTTGGGCATTCGGTCTCTAAAAGGTTCACCATCACTGGTTTAGGGTTAGAAAAATGAGGTGTCCTGGCATGATTTGGATGCTTGGAATGTGTTTAGAAGGGGCAGAAATGATGAGCTGTGCAGAAAAAGCTACTCAAGCAAGGCTTTTTCAAAATTGCTTTCTTTTCAATGGAACGTTAGCCCTCTATTAGGATTAGGGGTGTGCACCAGGGTAGGGTTAGGGTTACAAAAACAAGGTGTCCTGGCATGATTTTGACTGTTGGAATGTGTTTAGAATTGGCAGAAATGATGAGCTCTGCAGAAAAAGCTGCTCAAGGCTTTTTCAAAATCGTCCTCTTTTCAATGGTATTTTAGCCTTATATTAGGGTTAGGGGTGTGCATCAGGGTAGGGTTAGGGTTAGAAAAATGCGGTGTCCTGGCATGGTTCTGACGGTTGGAATGCGTTTAGAATGGGCAGAAATGATGAGCTGTGCAGAAAAAGCTACTCAAGCAAGGCTTTTTCAAAATGGCATTATTTCCAATGGAACTTTACCCCTATATTAGGGTTAGGGGTGTGCAGCAGGGCAGGGTTAGGGTTAGAAAAATGAGGGTTCCTGGCATGATTTTGATGGTTGGAATGTGTTTCGAATGGACAGAAATGATGAGCTGTGCAGAAAAAGCTGCTCAAGGAAGTAGCAGCACCAGGCAATAACATCACAACCCATTAGCTGTGACTCATCTGAGCTTTCACATGGCCGGTCAGTGCGCTGCCAAGTTTTTATATATATATATATATATATATATATATATATATATATATATTTGCTTGGACTGGCTGTGAGTTGTTTTTTCTAAACTAAAACTTCACTTTTCAGGTCTTATTGTAGTGTTGGCACTTTGAAATAAATAAGTGGGATTTGGGTTTCAGTTTGGGCACTCGGTTTCTAAAAGGTTTGCCATCCCTGACCTAGGCTCTTTTGAACAAGTAAGAGTAAACTTTATTCTAAACTAAACTAAGAGTTACTGAGAGTAACTAAAGAGTAAATGGCAGGTACTCACATATAACGGTTACACTGGCTGCAAATTGAAGCCTGCCCCCAATTTAAGGTGACCTATAGATTATCTATAAAGCACTAAACAGCTTGTGTCCAAGATACCTGAAGAAATGCCGTCTTCTCTCTGTGCCTTCCTGTCCCTTGAGATCTGAGGCAGAGGTGCTGCTCCGGGAACCCTCCTTGAAGGAGATTGGGAGGGTGACTACCCAGAGGAGGGCCTTCTCAGTGGTGGCGCCTTGACTATGGAATACCCTCCCCAGAGAGGGTTGCCTGGCACCGATGCTTTGTTCTTTTCGGCATCAGGCAAACCCCGTTTTTCCCCTGTCATTTTAATGTTTAATTGATTTTAACTGGGGTTTTATCATCTCAAATTGTCAGATGCTGTGGTATTTTTACCATTCGTTTTTTATTGTAAACCTCCCCAAAATGCTAGTGATGGACAGGCTAGAAAAGCTTTTAATAAACAAATAAGCCTGGAGAAACAAAAGTCCTTGGAACGAAAAAAGAAACTCCTGAATGTTGAATACAAATTACCTTGTGGTTAATTATGTCATATGACTGTGCTGAGAAAGCCTGCAAAATTAAAAATACATTAAAATTCCATAGCAAAAAGGCTGTTCTTGATTTAATCAAGACAGTGTTTGTTCAAAGGAATGCATGATTTTAATGCTCTTATGCTCAGTCTGCTTAGGAGCACATGTAATTCAAGCAATGGTATTAATGAGAACTAAGAGCTATTTTTGCTCAGTAATCTCTTACACTTTACTGCCTCCACAGTTCCTATATCGGAATATATTTCAGCATTTTTATCTGGCACTTCTAAGTTTATTGAGGGCATACAGAGCAGTATATTCTAGTTGTTGAAAAGTACAAGTCCTACCTGATACCAGGATCATTTAAAAAAGCAACCAATAATTCAAAACATTCTATTAATTTTCTCTACCGAAAGCAGTTTTTCTTAATGGTGAATCATGTCCCTTGTACAAAAGAAGAAAGTGTGATTAATATCAGCTATTCATACATATTCTGAGTCAGTCTTGCTTATTTCAAAGGTAGCTACTGCATATTTTAAAGGCATGGATGATAATAATATTAAGAAGAACCAAAACCATCCAATGTCAGCTTAGCACAGAACAGTCAAATCAATTCCATTAAAATTGTGCCCTCTAGTGGAGCTGTGCAGATCCTTGAATAATATACATTCTCTATGTAAAGTGTCTAATGGCAGAAAGTGAAGAGGA